TGATCACATCAAATATAAAGTGCCTGGTAAGTTAACATTTCCACTATCAGGACACACAGTCTAGCAGCTTCAGTGTCTCTAATGTTTCATTTGCTTCTACCAAAGGATTTCTGGTCAGAGTGAGTGATGAATGGTTGCATACTGAAATAGATATTTACATCCACTCTGCAATTAGATTGAACTGTTGTAAACAACTAGAGACAAAATAGGTGGTAGAGGCTCAACTCCATCAGTGCAGTGGAATCAATGCTGTGTGACCAGGTAGAAGGTCTTTCTTTGTGACGAGGCAAAAATGACTCTTTTGCAGGAAGTCATGCAGTTATACCTGTTTAATGATATAGTAACACAGCTAACGTGCATTTTCTGCCTTCTAAACGATTTGGAAGAAAGTGCTGATATATTTTTTTTCTTATGACCTTCTTGGTAACGGCATTAAATGAGATTAAGTATGCATTTGCGTCAGCAACAACATTTCACAATCAAATGTTGGATGACAAAAAGAGCTAGCTAGCTGCTTCTCCAACTCCATGCCATGAATCAGTGAATTCATTTAACAGCTGATGTGGAGGGCAGTGACATGGAGCCTGCCTCATAACCAGCAATCRATGGTGTGCAGTGAAGTTACTGTAATGAACAAATATATCAGGCAAATTGCTCTGAATTTTGGACATTGTAGAAAGTAGAATCAAAAGCCCGAATCCCGACTCCTCACAGACAACACTTGTCAGYGCTGACTAAGGTGATTTTGTGTTTTTCAGGAAAAATTCATGATCTAGTGTAAAAAGGAAAGCCTTTACTCACGTGGATCATTATTGTGATGTTCAGTACAATAATCTGCACGAATAACAACTACTTGCTTAAACGGGAGCTACAGAATTGGATCCTGTGGAAATGACTTCTGGGGGGATTCCTAAAGAATCCATTGCTCTTGGTGAAATTTTCACTTAATTTATCAGTAGTAAGCTTAGTTTATTGGAAGTAATGCAAAACTATGWGCTATTTCTAAGTGTTCACTATCACTTAGTGTGTATCTACCTACAGTAAGAGCATCCTTCCCAAACGTATTTCAGTGGAACCTGGAAGCAAGAGAAAACTGTGTACTTTGATGCTGAGAACCACAGAGTCTGGAATGGGTAATGGAAGCAAGTCTTTYAGCAAAGGTAGAAAGGTTATGAGTGCAGCTGTGTGACAAAGGCCAAGAATTCAGAGCACGTCAGAATTGCATCACTTTTTGGAGCTGTCCAGCTTTAAATATGAACTGAAATTCTAGGCACTCAAGAAGATCTACTGTAGGGCAGCGCACTAAGCTGGGCAGTACTCTTTGCACACAAAGCCTCTAGCCTGAAGTACCTATTGAAAAGCACCTTTTGCTTGTCAAAAATCAAGCAGGAAGTGTTGGGAAGCAATCTACAGGGCCTTGGCCCACAGTGAACAACTTGAGGATGAATGCTGRGGGACTTCAAGGAAAAAAGAGACTGCAGGATGTCTTGATAGAACATCTGCCATGTTCTCACTGACAGGATCAGTAGAAATGCTGTAAGATTTCCACATGTGTTTTACAGTTTAATTTTGCAGCTCAGGAAGATCAAGTCACAATGTCCCAAGTACTGGACCCAGGGAACTGCCAGAGCTCAAGCTCTGGGTACACAGTACTGTGTCACAGAATCCCAGAATGGTTGAGGTTGGAAGGGCCCTCCAGAGATGATCTAGTCCAACCCATTAGTCCGATTCGTGCTTCTGTTTCTTCAAGGATGAACTTGTTCCTGTCTCCCAAAAGTCAGCTGCCCTTGTTGCACACAGAGCTGCAAACAACGTTCTGTATTTCATAACCTGGTGCTTTGTTCCCATTACTGCTCCTTATGGCTATTTTAAAGGTGTGTTTTCTTTAAGTAAGCTTTTCTTCATCAGAGTAGCTGTAGCAAGTGTTTCATATTCTATTTGYTTTGCCATGTGGTAACATTGCAGAGAGGGATTAAATTAACTTCCCAAGGGGATTATTTCCAAGTTGAAATTCAACAMGACCAAGAAGCCAGTTGAAAGTCAAATGTGCAGCTGAAACTCAAATACGCATTCAAAGGACAAGCATGGAGGCAGTGCTGTGTTTACTTGACTCTTTCCATGGTTTCATAGTTTACAATGAAAAGTGTGCCAAGACCTGCACAATGCCTCTGTGTGCCTAAGCTTCACATGGCTGACAGAGCTCAGTTTATACTAAAAGTTATGTCTAACTTACCTTTGTTTCCTTGTACCATGATTCTCTCTGTTCACTTAATGTTCATGCATTCTTCTATATCAATAATCTCTAAAAGTGTGTGTGTGTGTGTGTGTGTGTGTATATATGGATATATAGAAAGAGTATGTATATGCACACTTCTAACATATATATCAATAACTATCTACTGCACAGGCTAATATGTAACAGTTAAAAATATTATTGGAGAAGGCTGTTGGAGCCCGTCACTTGTTTCCTTTGCGAAGTGAAAGGTAGAATGAAAGTCCAGGGCCATCATTAAAGAACAATAATGGTATGTTTGACAAAATGAAAACAATTAAAAATTGGTTGTTAGCAGTTCCTTGAAAATAGGTCATGGAAACTTTACACTACGTGCACTTTGAAAATCARTGCAGCCCCAGCAATGTTTATTTTAAAAATAATATTCTTAAAGGATTTTAAAGCTTTTTTTATACTGAGCTAAGGAGGCCAAACGGTGAACAAATTCAGCAGTGAAATAACTGTCATGATTTTTGCCTTGCTTGTCATCATTAACAGAGTGATGGATCCACCCACAAGTCACTAGTGCCATGACAAACTGTGTTATGTCAGGATGACAGCCTTTTTCATCGAAATAAATAAGTCAAGAAAATGTCAGTGTCTCCASATTGAAGTCTTCTGACAAAACAAAGTTAATAACTCTACAACAGTCTTTCTCAACAGATGCCTTCTACTATTAACTTAGCTTTGAGAAGCATGCTTTGAACACTGCATATTCTACAAAGAATTAAACATGTGTAGGGCTTGGGGGTGATTTTTTCTCTACTTTACAAGTCTGGCTATGTGAAGTTCTTTTGTTTGTGTTTTCATTTGAAAASGGAAGCATTTTGAACTGAATTAATAGGGCAGCGTGTATTTAAGCATGAACATGATAACAGCGTAATGATGTAGCCTTTTCTATATCTGTAACACGTTTTTGTGGGGGGGACCTTGTGCCCCACATGTGAGAAACATTTAAGTGTTCTTTGAATTGCTTGTAACAGAATTAAATGCTACTAAGGTTGAATTATTTTAGCCTGGAGTAAGTTCTGCCAAAGGGCTTTGGTTTTTCACTTGGTGAGGCAATGGAAGCAAAGGGGCTTGGCAGCTCACACAGTCAAGCTCACGAGTGAGGAGATGGAAGGTAGACTGAATTAAGCAACTGAGATTATCCAGGAACTCTTTGCTGCCTATATATTGGGCTAGTAGCCTATACAAAAAGATAGAAGATTTTATGAAAGAAAGA